CCATGAGATAAATGTTGGCTACGATGAGTTGCCGTTCAACTAGAAATGGCAACTATCATGCAGTTAATATATAAGATGTGCATTGGTTGGCTTTGAAATTGAGCAAGCAATCAAGTTTCATTGGTTTGAACTTTCAGATTCTCCAGATGGAGGTTATGCTACCTACGAAGTAATAAGCAATTTGCGACATGGTTCACTTCATTAGAAGTGCAATAGACAATGTCCAAAATTAGGTAGGCAAGTTGAGACTTAAACAACAAAAAATTAAATCGAGACTTAAACAACAAAAAATTAAGACTCGCGCTTTGTAAATTTGAGTGGGCTATATGAATCCTTCTTTGTAACTCATTTCATTGTTATGTCTACTAGAGAAACCCGACTATGTGTATATGAGTCGTGCTACAGTGCCCGCAGGGATGACCGCACACACACACATGGGGGGTCGGTATTATTTTATTCACGTGGGACCCCGCCTCGGCTATGAGTGTGCGGTCATCCCCACGATCACCCACATAGGTCATTTAGCATTTTCCATGTGTATATAAGGATTCCAGTTATATGAAGTTTGGTGTTGACTATTAGTCTAATGCAATGATTTGCAAGGCCTCTAAAGGTTTGTATTTTAAGAAAATTGAGGAAGAAAGAAGAAAATTGAGGAAGAAAGAAGAAATATGAGTGTATGGGTGTTTTTAAATTTGAATTTATATTGGTTGTTTAAGATGATTAATCTCACCTTTTGTTTCTAACTTCTTTTTTGTTTATTTGTTTATTTTTCGTTGTAACTTCAAGATTTTCCATTGAAGAAGTTTTACTAAATAAGATTTAATTAGTGACATCTCCAAATATAATAAAAAACCAGTCAAAGTTAGCACGTAGCCTACTCTACTACGGCACGTGCCTTGCCCGTACGTCTGGCTAGTTATTCCCTAATGCGCCAATAATTGGGTCGCTTATCTTGGGCCTGAATTATTCCATAAGTCCACCGTCATTTCAGGCCCGATCCACGTAATAGTAAATTAAGGATTTGAAACAAAATTCACGAAACAGCGACCAGGGTTTACAGGAATTATAGGGTTTACACACTGCAACAAAGTCACCGTCTTCACTCAATCGACGCCCCATTTGTGATTCCATTGTAGAGAGAGAAGACAGGGTACAAGATGATCACTGGCGGAAAAAGCTTCGTGTCATCCCCGCCGGCGTTTTCAAACGACGCCAAGCGGATGCTCGTTTGCACCGGCAACACCTTGTCAATTTTCAGTACCTCAACAGGCCTACAGGTTCTGTTTTTTCTCAATATCTCACAAGTCACAGTTTTTTTTTTTTTAACGAAATTTAATAGCAATATGTGACTCTGCAGATAAGTGAACTGGAAGGCCACGGCGCGCCAGTGACGTCGGTGATAGTAGTGCCAGCTTCAACTCCAGCTAGCAAAGTCTTGTGCCATTGCTGGACGGCGTCGCTTGACGGAAAAATTAGGTTCTGGGATTTCATGGCGCCAGAATTAATTAGGACTATTGATATTGGGTTCCCTATCCACTCCATGGTAATTTGACCTAAATTAATTTTATCGATTCTGAATGTATTAGAATGTTTTGATGATATTTGTTTGCCACGACCGTGGTTAGCTTAAATCTCACATTAGTATTCTACTTCGTCAAAGCTTTTTTTTTTTGGAATTACAATCGAGAATGTTTAGCTTTTTTGGAGCTTTTTCACTAGAATTACATCTAATTTATCCATATTTTGCGTTTTTATTACTATTCTTGGTAAACAATCTGAAATTGTGTGGAAACAGTCTTTTCTTTTCCTTTTTGTTTTCATGATCAGCATTTATTTGTCATGGTATACTAGAATAAGATAAGTATATTATGTTATTTTCAATTTTCTGTGGCATTTTTCTTTTTAATGGTTTTGTGTCTTAAATGACGTGTCACTGACCCAATCAGGTGATTCCAAGTCTATTAAGCCAGCCAACGGAGAGAAAAGGAAAGTCTCTCGATCTTTTTGCTTACATCTATATTGAAGCTGAGAGACAAAAGGAAGGACAACCTAATTCTTCAAGTGGACAAATTCGGAAATGTAATTTAACAAAATCTCGTTTAGCTGGTGGAGTAAGCTTGGCAGAGGTGCGTATTTATGTGCATTGCTTTATGTTATTTATGGTATGCCTTTTTACAAGTACTACCACTACGCACATAAACTCTCTTTATTATATAAGAATGTGTCATTTACCATGTGATTGGAGTCTTAGGTAGAATGTATTACATGTGTGTTATGCTGTGAGTATTAAGACAATCTAGAAATACAATAATGCAATTACGATTTTAGTTCTAATCTGATAAGTTTTGCCAATAGATGCATTCTAATAAAGTTGTGGTATTATCTGCAACTGCATAATCTGTTCTCCTTTTCTGTAATATATTTTATTTCTATCTATATTAGAAAATACTGTTAGAATGTCTCTTAGGGTCCTCTTCATATATGGTTATGTAACTGTGAACACGATAACGTTTTGGTGAGCTTCATTTCCAGCCATGTTCTTTTTTACACACAAGAAGATGTGTCAGTTTGACCACAGATAAAACCAGATTTCAATAGGGTGCCTTCTTCCTGTGATAAATACTCAATATATGAATGTTAATTGTTACATGATTCTACTATGTTACTCTAACCGAGTCTAACGATGGCCTAATGTTTGTCTTTGAAATTGAGCAATTATTCTCGTAGGATTGGAGCTATTTCAGTTGTTGGTGAAAACTAGTATATAAGTGTCTATATATATTGAAGGGGGAAATTCAACAATTAGAATCAATCGAATTTCTAGATCCATGTGAAATATATGCACCATTGCTCATAAATTGTGCACAAGATTGAAAGAGAAATGAATGCTACTCGATGCAGACCTACTAATTTGAGGAGAAGCTATGTAACCTCGGCTAGATGAGGTGATTTGTTTTAAAAGAATTTGAAGGAGAGCTTAATTAAATAATATTGGAAATCACTGGATATTATGTTTAATATGAAAATTATTTATTATTGTTTGCTATGCTGTGCATTGTCTAACCTTTTTTTTCATCTGTGAACAATTTTTTTAACTTCAGGAGCCCATTTTCATGTTAGGTTATACTACTTGTACATCAAGTGGTGTACATCAAGGGTTACACCCCCTCGAGTGGGGGGTGAGACCCACTGAAATAATATTTTTTATTCGAGTGGACCCCGCCCCCATGTGAGGGGGGGGGGTGTAACCCCCGATGTACCACTAGTGTGGTCGTTTCATGTATTTGAGATCATGCATTCACTGTTTTGCAGACTCATAAACCGGGTTGCATAACTATTAGTCCTTCTGGGGAATACATTGGAATATGCGAAACGCGCAGGCTTCGAATATGGGAAATTCCGACAAAAGATTCTGATAATGCTATTTATAAGAAAATCAGATTGCATCATACGAAAACGTTTACCACTCTTGCTTTTCATCCTACTGAAAGGGTGGTAGCAGCAGGTGATGTAACAGGAAGGATCTTATTATGGAGAGGTGTTGGTCACAGAACATTCTCTACCAGTGATAAATTTATTAGTGGAGGATTTAGTAAGGACGCAGAGGAAAGGCCTGGAGTGAGGGGCAATGATGATGCTGATTCTTGCACGACATGGCATTGGCATTCTGCAGAAGTGAATGTTCTCTTTTTCTCTTCAGATGGCGCCTATTTATTTTCAGGTATACATATGCAATTTGTTAACACTATTGACCAGGTCGATGCAGTAGTTCAAAATTTGTAGGAGGCATTTTCATTTGTTTCTATCTTTTTTTTATTGCATTCATTTGATCTGTTTATGTTGCATGTTGCATTTTTGTCATAATAAGATCTTTAACTGGATCCAGGTGGGAGAGAGGGTGTTTTTGTGGTATGGCAATTAGACACTGGGAAGAAAAAATTTCTTCCAAGAATTGGATCTCCGCTTCTATATTTCACAAATTCTTCAGATCCTTCACTATCCTCTGTAAGAAATTCATCTAAGTTTTAGCCAAGATTTTTTTTTTCTTTTTTGGTACATCATCTTGTATCTGCTTCTGTTGAATGAGTTCTTAATTGTAAATTTCTTCAGATATCCTGTGCAAATAATCGAATTCATCTACTCAGAATGCCTTCAATGGAGATCTTGAGGTCCATTTCAGGGATTAAGGTTTGTTGCAATAAGCCACTGTCTTTCTCTTATGAAAATAAAGAAAATAGTGAAAGCTGTATTCGTTACTTCAATAAAATGTTTTATTTGAGATATTTATTTGAAATGTTTCCTTTGAAAAACTTATCTAAAACCTGTATAGATGATATTCTGGGTACTTTTTTTCGGTAATTTTTGTCTCTTCACAATTATCTCTAAATTTTTTATCTTTATAGCTGCGTCAAAGATCTTGCTGTCACACGGTTGTCAATATCTGCCATAGGTTTGCATGATTAATATGTTCATAAGTATCGTTAATGGCAATTAGCAGCATTTGGGATCAAATACGAACATATATAATAAGACTTCAACTGTAATTTATGCTATCTATTTTGTCACCGTTATCTTGTCATTCCCTATTAGGGGGAGGGATCGTTCCCTATTAGGGGGAGGGAGTAGGTAGGATTTGGAATCGGGACAGAGATCTCTCTTCACATTTATTAGAATGCTCTTGTGCCTGTTCCTCATTCTTGTTGTATGTTTGTGATATGTGACGAACTTATGGGTTAAAAAATATTATCTTTTATAATTTCAGCTTCCGAGTTCAGTTTCTGATATATATGAAGAATCGGGTAGTGGTGTCGTCTTTGATCACACTGCTGGGTTGGTTGCAATACCAACTGACAATTACAGTGTACAGTTCTACAGCTTGTTTAATGACCGTGAAATTTCCGAGGTGAGCATGTGAAATTGGTTTATTAGTTAAGCTATTGATTTTGTCATGTGTATTAGACACTAGTTTTTCTTTTTCACTATCCCGTGTGCTGATGTTCAGTATCTCCACTGCAGGCATTTTTTTTTTGGTGGTGTTAGGGTGGGGGTATTGTGAGGGTGATGGGGTCATGAATCATAATTAGTTTCTGAGATAATAAGTGATCACATAATTTTGAACATCTTTAAAGCTTCTAGGTCAGAGGTTTTTCTTTTTCGAAATTTTAAAATTCGCAATCCTTTGTAAGTTCATTTTTGCAGCATATTATCTTTTAGAAGGTGATGTCTCTTGATTTACATGTTTTCAGGTCCAAATCTGTGAAAGGAACCATCAGCCAGGTGATGAAGTTATGGTATAAATACTCTTTTTAAATCATTTTTACTAAATGCACTTACGGTTTGGTATTGGCATAATAGTCTTCATTTTTACATATTTTTTTGTCCAGCTTTCTTTGTTGCTTTTTGGCTCTGTGTTTTCATGTTGACTTGAGAAGCTCTAGATTTTCACATCAGTCTTGATTACTTTAAACCCTCATGTCTCAAAGAATTTTTATAAAAACGGTCCCAGAAAATTTTATGAAGAACATTTTGCATTTTACTTTCCAGCACATTTCTCCAACTAATATTCGGTGCAATTGGAATCGAATCACAGTGATTAGACTTTCATAATATGGCTTTGCAGGTAAAAGTGAATTTGGTAGCCCTCTCCCGAGATGGTTCTACCATGGGCACAGTTGAAACTAGACTTCCTGAAGAAAAGATAGGTGGCCTTGTAAGTCTAAAGTTCTGGGCTTGTGGCTCTCAAAACAAAGACTTCAGCTTATCTACTGTCATATACGAACCACACAGGTTTATTGTTATCTTCTAACACTTTTATATTGCTGCAGCAGTAATTTCATATGAAAAAATGCCTCTCTTCCCTTCCATTTAAAATACTCTATTCTAGATATCCTAATATATTTTTTCCTTCTATAAAGGGGGGCAAGTGTCTCTTCTATTGCATTCCATCCAACTTGTAATATGGCTATCACTTCCTCATATGGTGGCGACTTCAAGGTGGGTGGACTACTTTGAGTGATTTGTTCTGTAAACTTTCCCTTAATAATGATTTCAGATTGGCAGATTTGGGTTCGTATGCATGACACCCACCTGAAGGACCAGATGCTTCAGAGTAGTGGCTGGAGGTGCCATGCTGTTGGTTCATACAAGTATTCTCTCTCTCCAAACTATTATGTCATTCCTTCAACGGATAATTCAGAAACCTTGTTTAGACTATTGTAATATAACATCAAGGTTATAAATTCCTCCAGGTTCTGTTATGTGCTCTCACAATTATGAACTTTATATCTAGTTACGTGTCGGATGCCGGCACTTCTCGGACACTTTGCCATGGTCTTTTTTTTTTCTTTATCAAAATATATAATATTTTTAACTCAAAGTTATTATTAAATAACAAATATGTATTCATATTTAAAAGATTTCAACGATAAAAATTAATAACAAGTATAAAACTAAATTTATACTATATAAACAAAGAATTTTAAAGAATGTAATCAACGTGTCGATGATGTGTCGTGTCAGTACTTTTTTGAAATGCCGACATGTGTCATGTTGGTACTTCATAGGTTTTATCTGATACAATCTTTTATTATGACAAAAAATGCACATTTAAGTAGATTGATATATATGTTAAAGGTAGATTTTCTTATACATATACCTAATAACCAAGATTTTGTTTTTGGTAGGAAAAGGCCTATGACAGCTGCTGCATTTTCTGCCGATGGGTCTGTTTTGGCTGTTGCTGCAGAAAATGTTGTTACATTGTGGGATCCAGATCAGAATATTCTGGTGGCAGTAATTGGAGATACTCTTGAGGTAATAGTACAAAGCTTTCTATTGCTGTTGTATAGCAAACTGTTCTCCTCCATTTTATGCATGTTGACTTATTTTGCACTCTTAAAATATTTCGAGTCAAAATGACTTGTGATCATTTGAAAAATTACTTTTTGCTGTAACAGCCAATTTCGACACTCTCATTTGTTGGGAAGTCGACATTTCTTGTGTCAGCATCACGAGGTTCAAACCCACAATTGACTGTATGGAGTATGTCAAAGCTGTCTATATCTTGGTCCTACAAGCTTCATGTAGAAGGTCTGTATCCTTATTTCTTTCTAGCATTTTTTTCCCTGTTAGAAGAAGTGAGAGTCAATTGTAAAATTGGAGAAAAGGAAATCTTTAATCTTTTGAGATTTTCTGTTTTTTGTCAAACATCTAAGATAAATGATTTCAATATAACTATTAGCGGAGACAATCATGAAAATAGGAAGCACCCACTCACATAAAGTTCGTCGAATTTATTTACGATTTCTTTCCGTCCGACTGGAATTGGGTATGATTGGACCCTTGATTAAGGCCAAAGATAATTTGATGGCTTAATATATGACTGTATGGTGCTAAGAGATTTTAATTAATTTTTCCAAAACAAGATAGTGCAGACCAGTTGAAAATGCTTTCTTCATCAGTAAATCTTTTTCTTGGTCAATATTATGTTATCTGTGCAGATATAACATGTTCCTTGGATGGTTCCACCTTTGCTGTTCTTGCCCTTCTTCCTGAGACATCTGAATGTGTGGAGTCTACTGAAGCCACATTACAGGGCGTAGACGGGGCTATCTTACTGTTCAATGTAGAAAATCCTTTTCCCTTGGCTACCTGGTTTGCAAGCAAGGTAATTTTATTTTTATAATCTAATGATATTAAATACTAGATAGAGATAACGTGAATAAGCTTCTGCTGCTTAGAGGGTGTAAACTCTCGTATTATTTCTCAGTTGGTTTCGTAATAAGGAACAAGCCCAGTTCAAGACGAACTTGCAGTGAGTTCCAGCCATTAAAGTAGAGGACGTGGCACTTTGTAGTAAATTAGTAATTATTTAGACGTCTCTTATATACTCATATTGCACCTTGTATTAATGATTTTGACCTCTCTTATATATTCATATTGCAGGCTCAGGGCGGAAGACTTAGTTTTCTTCAAACAAGTCCTAAATTGGAAGATGAAGTTGCAGATGTAAAACCAGCCCATGGTTTGTTGGCTTACATGAACAGAAATTATGAGTATGTTCTCTTCAATTCCTATGGTGAGCAAGGCCATAACCAGAGCGTTACTCGCCAGCAAAATTCAAGCAATCTTGAGGAAAAAGGTAATACACTGTTTTTTCGAATGTACTGTTAAGGTAATCTGCTTACAAAAGAGATTTTATACACTCAGTTTTGAATATTTCACCGCTTGTGATTCTTGAAGTTAATATTCTACGTGATGCACAGTAGTGCTGCTCTCCTACATTATGATATTGAAGTTATTTTGCGTAAAACCCGTTCAGCATCCTTGTGATGTTTGGTTGGGTATTTTATCGTTTGGGCAGACATTACTGAGTATACTCATTTTAATCTCGTGTAAATATTTTCCCTGGCAGAAAAAATTGGTTATGCATCCATCTATGGTGAACTAGCAGAATTGAGCGAGGAAAAAAATCAAACTCGAATCCCGTATATACAATATGAGAAAAATTGGGAAACAATATTTAGTGGACCATCTCATAAACTTGCTCCTCTTACCAAGTTGTGTTTGGATTTTTTGGATTCATCGCTAGAAAGGAGAGCTGTCACTGTGGAATGAACAGTGTGGAGTGCTGTTTCTCTTAAGCAGCAAATCGTTGATCACTTTTCTCCAATTATCACATGGTTTGAAACAAAAGGGATTGCTACATTGACGGTGGACATCCTGGCATAGTTATTACTCAGGTATTCTCGTTTATGTACTGGAGCAGATTATATTGCAATTATCGATGGAAGTACCTACGTATAACCAGATATTCAAGAAAGATACGGAGGGACGACCCGTAATATGTCAACCTTTTGCCCCTTGGAGATTTGAGGATGGTGGTGTATGTTGTTAGTTTACTTGTAAGTATAGCAATAGTTACTCCGCAGACTGGTTTTATGATTGCTAGGAACAGAGAAATTTTGGCTGAATCGAAGCTATTATTTAGCTCGGTAGGTAGTATTTTTTGGTGAGCTCAATTTCTAAATCAAGTCGAAACTAATTTGATCTTATTTATTGGATGACTGCAAAATTGAAAATTAATTTTCATCTTGTCTGGTCTATCCAATGGTTAAATTCATAACATGACATAACAAGTTTGTTTCTTCTCGAGATACACGAAATTCTTACTTATGTTTGTCTCTACTTGATAGAGAGTCGAATAATTTAAGGATATTGGTCATTAGCACAAGTGAATATTTGTCTATTACATGGTTTTATTTTATGAAAGAAAAATGGGTGGGGATGGAAGTCCTAGTGCTTTTAATATTCGAATCTTCTCAAGTTTGCTTCGTAATAATTTAATTGTTTTCAGTAGTTTTGTAGTTAACAGTCAAAATGATTGTTGCAATTTTCTTTTTCTTAATTAAAGTTAGATATATAAGTAATTTTAAATAGAAATATGCAATGTTCATTGAATCGACAATAAACTCAAATTTACTTGTTCTACACATTGTGGGCTTGCAGTTCAGTCAACGGGACCAATTGAGCATGACAAATTGTTTTTAGTTGATATTAGTCGAATGGGTTATTAGAACAAAATGTCTTTACGGAGTTCATCGTGCAAAATGTTCTAATGGTGCATTTTTTTACATTTCACTCTTATTTTAATATTTTCATTGTGGAAATTATCATTTTCATTTAATTTCACATTAAAAAGTTGTGAAATGACTAATATGCATTCATATTTAAATAAAACAAAAGGAGGAGGAACGAAAAAAAAAGAACTAATTATAACTGTTGATCCCAAAAAATGAGTTCAATAGATGCTGGATCCGCATTTGATGTGGTAAGAGTGGGCTCGACGTGTTATCCTCCAGATCCGAGCTCTCAAGTCTCACGAAAGCATCATATCGACGTAGATAGCAACGTGGGCAGGGAGCCCACACGGGCAGGAAACCAACTGGGAGGTCAAAGAATGGTTAACAAAGTCAAAATAGAAGAAAGAAGCAATCGTCAGAGGTCCCTTTCTGCTGAAGCAGATGTTGCCGAACTCCTTCACCTCTCATGGAGATGGAGCTCTGGAGCTTGAAGCAGAGGTCCCTCTAAGCTGTCCAAAGTTCTATGCCTCTGGAGGTCTTCAAACCAACGCCGACCCTGACCTACTCTAAAGATTTGAAGATCCATGAAGTGATTGGTGTGACGTCTGTAACAAAATATGTCAGTATGACAGCCTACTAAATAGGACGGTTGACTCTGTATCAAGTACTAATTGTAAGAGTGGACATTGATGTGAGGCTTCGGTCCACGAGATCAAGTCACGTGATTTTGATCTAACGGTCACCACGTCAGCCATAATAGTATAAATAGCTTATCTTTGTATGGAAAAAGGCGGCGGCATCCTCGTAATCAAAAGACAAAATACATGTACTGAAAACTCTCAAGAATTCAAAAAAGTTCAACTTAGCAATTTCTTCATTACTCTTTTGCAACATTATTAAATACTAATGGAAAGGGAAGCTATCGTGATCTCGATATACCTTCTAAACCTTTCTTATTTATCTTTCCACATATTCCTTTAGACGGGAAGAGAGATTTATTCTTGATTATCTTGGTTTGGTAATCGTTGATAGTGCGGTTGCCATCGAACCACACCGTTGGACTCCAAAACGTTGTCGTCTCTTGCCGGAAAGTGCCCCCACGTCCATTCCAGGTTGATTACCATACATATTCCGGTAAAAACGTGCCGGATCCATACTATCCGTACTTGACGTGGCAAGAGTGGACCCGATATCTATTGAGCTCATTTTTTGGAGTCAACAATAACCATACTCTCAATCCCTTTGTGAGCCTCAGCAAGTTGAACAGATAAATGTTGGAATTCAACAAAATAATGACCGTTTTTGAATGGATGTTCTTTCATCAGGGATTCTTGAGGGAAATGGATTACCATTCTCTCCATAGAAACTTCACCAAAAAAAAATAAAAAATCCTAAACCCAATCCTCAGATCGACTTGGAGGAAAGCACATCATGTGTACAAATAAACGTGCCAATGCTGAAACTCAAGTTCATTGGAAGTAAAGAGTGCAGCGTGGCCAAAATCTGGATTTTATGGCGATTTTTAGAATAAGGGATGTTATATTTGTATAGCTAAGATCCTAGAAAAATCGCAAACGGTGGTGCTTTATTTAAATATATGTTTGTCATTTCACAAGTTTTTATTGAGAAATTGGATTAAAATGATGATTTTCAAAATGAGATTTTGAAAGAAGGGTGAAAATGTAAAAATAAAATAAAATAAAATAAAAAATGTAACGTTGAGACATTTTGTACGATAAACTCCATATGTAAAAAAAAAAACTTGTGCTAATAATCTTTAGTTGAATTATTCTGGTTGTATAAAAGACAGCATCCAGAAGCAGTGCCGAAGATGTTTTGGAGGGAAATGATTTGTTGAAAAAGTTGACTGCATTTTAAACTGACAAATGATAAATGCTATGCAATATTATGTAAACATTTATGTCAATTTTGATGTACATATAGCAAGATCAAATTAGTATGGTTGTCGTAGTTCAATTATCAATTAACTTATCATCATTTTGTTTAAAAATTAAAAAAGTGTTAGAAATGTCAAACAAATCACAACAGAAATAATGAGGATGAGACTAGAAAATTTTGGAGTGATAAGATTGTCAAATTCAAATCAAAGGATAGAAGTAGTTAAATTATTATTTGATATTTGTTATCTATTCTTTGGATAGACATTAGTCACAAAATAGTGGAGAGTTGGTGTTCTTATTTTATTATAAATAGGAACAAATGTGTACTAAGTGT